AAAATGGCAGTGATTCAATCAAGCAACCAATCAATTTAAAAAGCATTTTGATAATGTACTAGGAATTATATACAGAGAAGTCTAAAGTTATAGTGTGACTAAGAAAAGAAACAGTAATAGTGATCATGGAATAAAACCCTCTAGTCTATAAAAGGACCTATAATACAGATATATCTGTATTGCAATAGTTGCTGTATTATATCACATACAAGCCATTAGTGATTAGCATGGGATGTGTAGAGAGAGGGGACCCCTTGCTTCCCTGTTTTCAGGGTCAGGGCCAGCTCTGGATAGAAGTTGTTACATAGGAGAAGTTGGTATTGGCAGACAGTTCCTTCTTACGGAGACCTTGTACTGTGTGCTGCTTCCTACCTGACCTTATGTCACATAACATAGGCTGGAGACAAGAGTTTTCCTGGAGATTAATTTTGAGATGCTGATAGCAAAGATCCTCATTCTGCTGGGGCTATTAAGCTGGGAATGTAGGAAGTTGGGGCTGTTGATGACCATCTTCCCTGGCTGTATTTAGGGAGCCAGTTGCAGGAAGAGAAAATGAGGAACAGGGAGAGGGGAGCAAAACCAACAGATGATGAGAGGGGGAAGGAAGGAGAGAAAAAGTGTTTGAGCGAGACAGTGAGAGGGTAGCTTGACAATTACCATGGTAGCCTGCATTTTGCCTGTAGTTCTTTTGGGGTTTAAATACTTCACGTCAAATGTGTGACTTCAGTCAGGCAATTTTGGGCAGCAGGCTGAGAGCCACAACATAGGTGTTTCTTTTTAACTAAGGCCCATGCTCTTGCCATGTCTTGGGTGTCATTCCCTCCTGCCACCTCAGAACCCTGTGATCTCTCTCCTCAGTGTTGCTTACCCATTCTAAACAAGCCCTTCTTCTAGTGATTCCATCTTCTTCCTCAGCTCTCACTCTCCTTTCCATTCCAGCCAAACCTCTTGAAAGGGTGTCTACATTCACTCTCTCACGTCCTTTTCACCTCAACCTACCCCAACAGGCTTCCACTCACAACTCCCTACTGAAACTGTTGAAAGATTACTAAGGACTTGTCCATGCCAACTCCACATGCCATTCTTTTTAAATTTATTTTTATATTTTGTAGAGACAGGGTCTCACTTTGTTGCCCAGGCTGGTCTTGAACTCCTGGGCTCAAGTGGTCCTCTTGCCTCATCCTCCCAAATTGCTGGGACTACAGGCATGAGCCACAGTGGAAAGCCCATGTGGCATTCTTTAGTCCTTGCCTACTTAATCTCTTGACATCATTTGACCTAGCTGACGATTCCTCCCCGCTTGAAAACTTTTTGGTTGGTTTCCATAACACCTGGACACCACATCTTCCTGGCTACTGCTTTTCTCTTACCTCCCTGGCTACTGCTTGTCAACCCGCTTGCCTGCTTCTCCTCCACCTATAAATGTTGAAGTTGCTGGAGGGCTCTGTCCTGGGTCCTCTTCTCAAGTTGCATTTTCTTCCTGTCTTCCCATGAAGAGTCTGATCCACTATTCTAGCTTCAGTTACTATCTGTATACCAATGGCTCTCAATTTTGTCTTTAGCTAAGAGACTGCCCCTCTGAGTGTCACAACCACATAACCAATTCCCCACTTCAGATTTCTGCTTAAATGTATCAAGATATATCAAACTTGACAAGTTTTGAATTGAACTCTTCATTCTCCCCTCCTACCCCCAACTCTTTACCTCTGCCCCAATCTCCTCTTGCCATGTTTCTTTCTTTTTTTGAGACAGGATCTCACTCTGTCACCCAGGCTGGAGTGCAGTAGCATGGTCATGGGTCACTACAGCCTCAACCTCCCAGGCTCAAGTGATCCTCCTGCCTCAGCTCCCGAGTAGCTGAGACTACAGGCACCCGCCACCATGTCTGGCTAATTTTTGTATTTTTTTTTTGTAGAGACGAGGCCTCACTATGTTGCTCAGGCTAGTCTCTAAGCTCAACTGATCCTCCTGCCTTGGCTTCCCCTGCGACCACAGGCACGTGCCCTGGCTAATTTTAAAAAGTTTTTTTTTTTTTTTTTTTTTTTGTAGAGATGAGAGTCTTCCTATGTTGCACAGGCTGGTCTCAACCTCCTGGGCTTAAGCCATCCCCCCAGCCTTGTCCTCCTAAAGTGCTGGGATTACAGGCATGAGCTACCGCGCCTTGTCTCATGCTGTTTCTTAATTCCCTAATAGCTCCCTAGTCCACACAGTTGCTCAAGTCAGATTCTGCAAGTCATCCTTGATACTGTCCTCTTCCTCATTCCCTTCAATCTGTCATCAAGACCTCTCAGTTCTACTTCTGAAATGCTTCTTGAATTCATCTATTTATCTTCATCTCCATCACTACCACCTGAGTCCTGGCCACCATCTTCTCACCTCTGGACTTTGGCAACAGCTTCATAACTGGTCTCCCCACACTCGTGCTGTTTCTTCCAGTCCACCCCCCAGAGAGATATTTTATTTTACTAAAAAAATATAATGGGACTACAGGCACAAGCCACCACATCCAGCTAATTTTTTGGTTTTTATTTTTTTGTAGAGACAGTCTTGCCATGTTGCCCAGGCTGGTCTTGAACTCCTGGGCTCAAGCAGTACTCCTGCCTTGGCCTCCCAAAGTGTTTGGTTTATAGGTGTGAGCCACCTTGCTTGTCCCTAGAGAGATATTTTAAAACACAAATCCTCATCTTGCCCTGGCTCTGCTTAACAGCCTTCAGAGGCATCCAGTGACCCATAGATAATGTCCAAAGACTTTCCTATGATCTACCAGTCTGGTCAGTGTGACCACCTTTGCAAGCTGATTTCAGCCACATTCCCCTTACCTTCCTCAGCTCCAGCCACATACGGTGCTTTTAGTTCCCAAACAGGCCAACCCACCTGTCTTCTCGGGAGCTCTGAATGAGCTGATCTCTCTGCTATTTGCTTCTTCAAGGAAGCCTTCCCTGACCACCCATCCAGTTGTAATACATCACCTCTTGGCACTGTAGGCTTTTCCTTCACTGCACCCTCCACATACATCCTCTTCTATTTGTTGTTTTTCCTCCTTGTGGGACTATAATCCCCAGGAGGGCAGGCACCATGGCCATCTGACTCACTGCTCTGACACCATTGCCAGTCTTGATAGGTACTGATAGGGTGAAGATGGAGTGTCTGGTGTCCTCATATCCCAGTCTCAGGACAGCTGTGTGGCCACCTACCATTTGGGGACTGTTTTCTTTTTTAAAATTAAAAAAAAAATTAAAGTCAACACCCCATGATTCTATATGGGGACTGTTTTCTTTTAGCCCCAAAGTCCAACAGCAGCAAATCCTTCAGTGTCTCTTAAAGCTAGAGTCCAGCTGTTTGGAGGAAAGGGTGACAGAGTTGACCCACATGGTAGATGTGACATCTTCCCCTGGAGCACTAAGGCCAAACAGGAGCCCCCTGGACGTTTGGGAGCATGCTTCACAAGCCCTGCCTAAGCGTTGCATCCCTGCCTTGTTCTCTAAGGAAGCTTTGGTGTTTTTAAGACAGGCCCTCTCCCCCTTGGCCCATTGTCCTTATTTGTTTTCATTCTGTATAGTGCTGTTATTACGGGTCAGGCCTCCTTGCACTCATGTGAAATCGTTGAGAACCTGCTCAATTAGAAAGTTCTGAACAGGGCCTTAGAGGAATGGGGGCTAGAAAGATGAACCTGGGGCCAGGCACGGGCGCTTAAGCCTGTAATCTTAACACTTTAGGAGGCGGGGGCTGGAAGATCACTTGATCCTGGGAGCTGGAGGTTATAGTGAGCCATGATCACACCGCTGTATTCCAGCCTGGATGACAACGCAAAACCCAGTCTCTAAAACATAAAAGAAAAGAGGGAAGGAAGGAAGGAAGAAAGGAATGAAAGAAAGCTGAATCTGCGCCAAGGGAACCAGTATAGCAAGACAGAATGTAATCAAGTATCTTAAGAGTGGCCTAGGCTTGGCTGGGCGCTGTGGCTCACGCCCGTAATCCCAGCACTTTGGGAGGCCGAGGCAGGCGGATCACCTGAGGTTGGCAGTTCAAGACCAGCCTGACCAACATGGAGAAACCCTCTCTCTACTAAAAATACAAAATTAACCGGGCGTGGTGGCAGGTGCCTTTAATCCCAGCTACTAGGGAGGCTGAGGCAGGAGAATCGCTTGAACCTGGGAGGCAGAGGTTGCGGTGAGCCGAGATCGCGCCATTGCACTCCAGCCTGGGCAACAAAAGCGAAACTCCGTCTCAACTACAACAGCAACAACAACAACAACAAAAAGTGGCCTAGGCTTTATGGGAAACAAATTGGTTGTGGCTGGCCCTCAGGGAGCAAGCTTTGCGGCATAGCAGAGTAGGCCAAAAGGCCCTCCTCGGAGACAAAATCTGCAGGGGCTACGGGGTGGGAAGCATCAGAACGCCCGCCACTCTGATTGCAAATACAACAACATGGAGTGTTCCTAGAAGAGTCAATTTCTTCCACGTGTGTGTTGGAGACAGCCTGTGTGTGAACATTTTCTGCCCTTGCCTCGCAGGGCTGGGTGGACCAGGAACCACCAGCAGAGGAAAAGACTTATTACCTCTTGGCCATGTCTGTCTCCAGAAGAACCGACTCTTCCTGCTCTTTGTGCAACGAGGCACACCTTCCGAGGAAGGAGGAGAACAGGATTTCCATCATTACTACTGCCTTATTAAAACACAACTGTGTAATTAGCCTCTGCAGGAAAGGCGCACAAACAGGATGCTTTCGAGCTGACCCCGGTATGAGCCATCCCTGTAAAGATTAGGAAAAAGAACCTCCCCGCCGTTCGCCCGCCTCCGGCCAGGGCCTCTTGGGGACGGCCCTACAAGGTCACCAGCCCACCGGGGAGGTTGGGAGAGAGGGGGCGGGCGACTCCTCGCTGCGCGGGTTCCTGGCTGGAGCGCCCTCCTCTGCGTCCTCCCAACCTTCCATCCCTCACCAGGCCAGTCTCCCACGCCTCAGGTGTTTGCTCAGGCCGGGCCACGAACCCCTTCCTTTTTGGCCTGCGCCCGGGGTGGCCCCTAACGCGCAGCGCACGGCCAGACCCAGCCCTACAAAGAGGGCGCGCAGGGCGGTACAAGCGGGCACTGGACTCCCGGGGGCTTGCGTGGGGATCCACCCACCGCAGGGCCGGGCCGCGGGCCACGCGCCACGCCCCCGGGGTCCGGAAGGCGCTGGAGCGGGCGCAGGGGTTCTGTGAACTTGGAACCTGGCGGCGCGAGGTTCTCGCCCGGGAATGCGGCGGCGGCGGCAGTTGCTTCCTGGTTTGAAGCTCGCCGAGTGGGGGAGAGCGTGAGCCTTCGGAGGCGGGGGCAGGAGGAGAAGCAGGAGGAGGCGGGGGAAGAGACGCTTGGGGCTGGAGCTCACCGGACGGGTAGCTCCGGCTCTCCGGGGAGAGGAGCTGCCCGGCCCTGGAGAAGGGGCGAGTCCCGCGCGAGCCCCCGGGAAGCGCAGCGCGCTTGGAAGGGACGGTCGGGCCTCACCGGCCCGCTGAGGGCTCGGCGGCGGGCTCCCCTCCTTTCCACCTCGGGAGGGAGGGAAGGAGGGGAGGAAAAAGTCCCACGGAGGAGGCAGAATGGCCAGTCGAGGGGCGCTTGGGCGCTGCCTTTCCCCAGGGCTGCCTCGACTCCTGCAGCTGCCCCGAGGGCTGGCCTGAGACGGGACTCCGCGTTCTCCCGCTGCGAACCAGCGCGGCCCCCCGGGGCCGGGGCAGCGGCGCCGGCATGTCGTCTGGCACCATGAAGTTCAATGGCTATTTGAGGGTCCGCATCGGTGAGGCGGTGGGGCTACAGCCCACCCGCTGGTCCCTGCGTCACTCGCTCTTCAAGAAGGGCCACCAGCTGCTGGATCCCTATCTGACGGTGAGCGTGGACCAGGTGCGCGTGGGCCAGACCAGCACCAAGCAGAAGACCAACAAACCCACGTACAACGAGGAGTTTTGCGCTAACGTCACCGACGGCGGCCACCTGGAGTTGGCCGTCTTCCACGAGACGCCCCTGGGCTACGACCACTTCGTGGCCAACTGCACCCTGCAGTTCCAGGAGCTGCTGCGCACGACCGGCGCCTCGGACACCTTCGAGGGTTGGGTGAGTAGCGGTGACCCCTTCCCTTGGTGTCCACCCAACTCCCGTTCCCCTTATGTTTTTCAAAACTCACCCGGGTCCCGCTTTCCCATCGCTCTATGGCTGAGGGAATTCCCTCCAGACTTTGGTCCTCGTCCAGGTGGCCGCGGCACTGGTGACGCGACCGCGGTGGGTGTGTGCAGGCGCAGGTGTGTCTCCAGGAAGCCGGCCTGGACACGATCCCCTTTCAGGACGGCGGCTTGACCTAACGGGAAGTCGGGCAGGGGTCCAGGGCGGTCACCCCTTCCGCCCAGTCTTTGGGTAAGGAGCTCCAACTTTCAGCATTCGAGTGGATACGTAGGAAAGGCAGGGAAGGAGTGATACGAAAGGGACTTGATTTGGGTAAAGTGCTTCAAGCGCTAACTTAGGAGAAAGCCGTGCATTCTCGCGAGTATTATTCATAATGTTTATGGATACATGTTGGTTCAGCCGCTCAGACGTGCACACGTGTTTCGGCTTGCACATCCCAAAGGTACATGAGCTACACTGGCAGGGATCTGAACGCCTGGGTCTGCACATTGGCAGTTTTATTATTTAGCAGTTTTCCAAGGAGATGAGATTTACATATACTTGCAAGTAACTCAGTCAGTCCGAGGTGGGAGTCCTGAGGTATGGGTTTCTGCTGCTGTTGATCTGAGAAGAGCTGCAAGGACTCCTCAGGAGGTTGTTAACCGCCTTCCCTCCCCACATCACCAGCCTGTGTTCCTGGGTGTTGACGTGTAGCTACCCGCAACTTCCCACTTGCCTCTGCTTTTCACATAGTTCCCATGAGGCAAAATTTCTGCTGTAAATAAATTAAAACTTCTAGAGCACTCTACACGGTGCTAACATGCTTTTACTGCCTAATCCTCACACTGTCTTTGTGATGCAGGTGGTGTCGTTCCCACTTTGAGATGATGGAATGATAATTATAATAAAGTAGTCTGGTTTAGCCAAATGGAGTACGTTATTTGAAGACTCTCAGGAGTTTAATAGTTTAAGTTCTGGAGGGAGTCAGTTTTGAACTCAATATCAGTATTGAAAATCTGTTTGAAATTTACAAGTGGTGAAATCAGATGGATGGTGATGAAGGCTCATTTAGGTATTTATTTTATACTTTGTGGAATTGGTAATTTTACCGTATATTTTCTGAAAATAAAGATGGCTTGTGGAGCTATTCCTTTCTTTTAAATAGAAGTACAAAAACCGTAATGACTGTTTAACCTTAATCGTCAAATTATATTGAGTTAATTTCCCTTCAGCCTGATTTACTTTGTGGCATTTAGAAGTGGGGACTAGAGAGGAATTGCTAAAATACAGTTAGATATTTACATTTATCCTGTGAATTTCTGGATATGAAATAGAAGTGAGTGTAGGCATCCAGATGGAATTGTTGAGTTCTATTATTGTCTGATTAGGAGTTAGGTTGGGCAAAGCTCTAGAGGAGCTCACTAGGTTCTGAAGTATGGTGGTGCAGATTGGCCAATGGCCATGAGAAGCATCTCTTCCTGGAGAGAGCCTAGACTAGTCCTTCTCAATCATCATAATCTACCCACTTGAATCACCCAGGGACCTTTCAAAAATCCCCACATTTAAAGATTCTAGATAGGAATCTGTGGGCTGTGGGACCCCCATCACCCTTGCTTTTAGGCTCCCCAGGTGATTCCAGCATGCAGTCAAGGTGGAGAACCTGAGGCCTACATGAAGGCCAAAAGATGAGGACTTCTTGGTGTCATAAATGTAGGAAGATCCAGGTTATCTGACTAGGTGGCATGTACAGAGCTGCTTATTGTTCCACTGGATGAATAAAGGATTCAGTGTAAATCAGATTTCAGTATTTATGATAGTCTGAAATAATTACACTTAGATGTTTAATCCACTGGTGGTGTTTTGGAAAACGTGAGTGTTTGGTTGGCAAGGAGGGTCAGCATTTAAATGACCTTGAAACCAACGGTTTTTCATGCATTTGTATGCATCAGAGGGCAGATTTTTCTTGATTTTTTTTAAAAAAGATTTTGGGTATTTTGGAACTCTGAGGATATGGTAGGTAGGATGGGCAGAGTGTTGTTTCTTTTCAAGAAAATCTTGTTAAGTAAATATTTGGAAATGTATGGAATGCATGCTTGTTTTTTTAAAAATTATCCTTTATAGGTTCAAAAATGCTTTAAAAAATAGAGATAGGGTCTTGCTCCCTTGTTGACCAGGCTGGTCTTGATCTCCTGGCCTCAAACCGTCCTCCCACTTCACCCTCCCAAAGTGCTGGGATTACAGGTGTGAGCCACTACATCTGGCCCAAAGGTGCTTTTGAAGTTCAGGATTGCAGAAATACTTACTTATCTTTAGTATTTTAAATTGACATGTCTAGTTTATTCAGAGAGTTACATGTGGAATAATTGAATTTACTCCATAATAAATTTATGTGTTGCAAGTGGAACTACAGATTACTGACTTAAAACAAAAACAAAACAAACTCTTGAAGTAGCAGGTTCAAAAAACCCCCAAAAACCTAGGGACTTAGTTTTTGCTAGATCATGAGAAGCTTTTAGCTGTCGATTATGGATGAGAGGATTCAATATGGCTAAGATCTCAATTCTTCCTAAAGTATTCAATAGATTCAATATAATCTCAATCAAAATCTTTCTAAGTTTGTTGTAGAAATTGACAGACTGACTTTAAAATTTATATGGAAATGGAAAGTACTGAGACCAGTCTAAGAATAGTTTTGAAAAAGAACAAGTTGGGGGACTTACACTCTCTGATTTCAAGGCTAACTGTAACATGACCGTAATCAAGATAATGTGGTATTGGAGTAAAGAGAGTCATACAGATCAGTGGAATGAATAGAAGAGAGTCTAGAAATAGATTCACACATATATGATCCACTGATTTCTGATAAAGCTGCCAAGAAGGCAACTCAGTGGGGGAAATGATAATCTTTTCAACTAATGGTGCTTGAACAACTGGATAGCCACATGCAGAAATATGAGCCTTGACGCTTACCTCACATCATACAAAGACATTAATTCAAAATGGATTATAAACCTAAATGTAAGAGTTTAACTGTGAAACTTCTATAAGAAAACAAAATTGTAGTGACCTTGGGTTCAGCAAAAATTTTTTGGATAGCATACAAAAGGCACCAACTATAAAAAAAAATCAGTAAGTTGGACTTTATCAAAATGAAAAACTGTTGCTTCCCAGAGAATGTTTAAGAAAATGAAAACCCAAGCCACAAATGGGAGAAAATAACTGCAACATGTAAATGAAAGATGTGTAACATGAATATATAAAGGAACTCTAACAGCACAGTAATAATAAGAAAAATACCTAATTTAAAATCCAACAAATGACTTGTAACTTGTCAAATGTTTGAATAGGCACTCACCTTCATGCCAAATAGCACATTAAAAGGTGCTCAAAATCATGAGTCATTAAGGAAATGCAAATTAAAATCAAAATGAGATCTCAATATGCACCCACTAGAAAGGTTAAAATTAATAAGACTGACCATACCAAGTGTTGGTGAGGAAGTGGAGCACCTGGAACTCTCATATGCTACTGTGAGGAATGTAAAATGGTACAATCATGTTGGAAAATAGTTTGGCAGTTTCTTAAACTATCAAATATATGCCTACCGTATAACTTACTCTTTAGTATTTACTAAAAGAAATGAAACCATTCATACAAAGGCTTGTCCATGAATGTTCATAGCACCTTTATTTGTAATAACCCCCAAACTGGAAACAACTCAAATGTCAACAGATGAATGTTTAAACAATTGTAATTTATCCATACAATGGAATATTACTCAGCAATAAAAAAGATGAACTGTTACACATGTAACAACAGGAATGAATCTCAAAATAATTATGCTGAGTGAAAGAAGCTAGACAAAAAAGTACGATTTCATTTATGCAAAATTCTAGAAATGAAAACGAGTTTATAGTGACAGGAAGCAGATCAGTGGGTGCCTAAAAATGGAGAGTGGAGGTGAGGGAGGTGGATTACAGAGGAGGCAGAAACTTTTAGGGGAGATGAATATTTGTATTATTCTGATTGTAGCAGTGGTTTCACAGTTATAAACATATGTCAAAGCTTATTAAATAGTTCACTTTAAGTATGTGCATGTTACTATATGACAGTTATACCTGAATAAAGCTGTGGGGAAAAAAAACCAATAAGGACTTATCCATATTTTACTGAAGGTGTTAAGATGCTAGTAAATGACAGAATTTCAGTTGAGCCAAGTCTGACTCTTGAAAACTATATTTCGTCTTTAGTGCAGAAAATATTTATGAGAATAGGAGCGTAGAAAAAACGAAATCACAATAAAACAAATTAGTTTCTAATTTTTGAACACAGTCTGATTTTCTAAATTATCACTGTCAGTTTTTTTTTCTGTTGCTTCTAGAACACGTTTATTTTGCATAATTTCTCTGGCTTCCATAAACTGAAGGATTGCCTCTATTTAAACCCTATTTTCTTCTTTCGTGTACTTGCTCTTGATTTGCTGACCTTCTAAGTGGGGACCAGCATCTAATGCTTAATGCAGAGTGCTGGGGACATGGGGAGGCAGGAGGAGCTAGAGGCTGCGTCATGGAAAGACCTTGGCGCCCCCTCAGGAAGGAAGGACCGGCTTGGCAGGATCCCAGGCTGTTTTCCTGGTTCAACCCTCTTGAAGACATTGTGTTCTCGGCAGCCTTGGAGGGCCGCTTTCTCTCAATTTCTCAGTGAGGTACCTGTTTTGTAATCAGTCCTGTCAGGTGAAGCAGCCAGGTTACTACTGGACAATCATGGATTGTCTTTTCCCTTCCTTCCTGGATCCAGGGGTCTGAATTTATAGCACCAAAATTCTTCCAGATTTTCTATTTTGTGGTTCATTCTGTTTTGTACTTTGTAGTGCAGTTATTCTCATGATTGATTTTTTTCTGAGCCAATTGGAAGGAGTGTCTAACACTGACTGATCAACCCACAGTGTTTAAGGG